TTTACAACTTTACTTTGCTTTTGGAAACTCCAACTCCGGTGCTCATTCTCAGCGCTAGGTTCGATGCCCCACGGACCTCGTAAAAATTATCTATCACCCCCCCTCCATTTTGTGTTTCTATGTGGTGGTCTAATACTTCATATCACAGTGCTTTATTGATAGATTCCTAGTATATTGAATAATGATATACTTTGCTTTTGGTAGAATAATGCAAAGTACCATCGCGAGTTTTGATGATGTTCAGTAATTGTCTTTATGCTCTTCAAAATGTGAATTTTCAGCTACTAATTGACCGACTTGACCTAAAAATCAGATAATATACTAATAGGTGCAAAGCCAAGCACAGTGGTATACAAATAAACACAACACATTCGCCAGTTCAGATGCCACTCGGTCGGTATTCCGGAGCAAAGGACTTAAAAGATAACATGACAGCAAGTAAGTAAATGGGCATAACTACGAGTTGTGTAAGTGAGTAAAAACGAGTAAGACGCATTTGGGGAAATCACGGTAAAGTGGATGTCTGTAGATTACGAAATCTCATCGGAACCATTTAGCGCATAATCAAGAATGCCAAGAGTCAAGGGGATTATTTTCATCATAGTGTGAAGCAAGAAGCAAAAAATATTAATCTAGTATATTTTTTAAAACCTACAATATTATCCACCTCCATGAAGTCAATTCTAGATGGTCGTGGGATGAATAAAACGGCAAACTCAAAGATCACATATTCTCTTTTTTATTTATCTGCAAAAAAATGATATGTGAGAACCATTTATTTAAGAATCCTTCAAACACACCTTACTGTAATGACGTCAATTTGCTCTAGCACAAAAATGGTGGTTGATAGTTGAAGCTACTTTAGGACATTACCAACATGAAAAGTTGAGTGGCCGTTACGAGATTTAGATAAGTAATCTCAGAATCTATGTCTCTGTGAGCATACACCGTTTAACTTTAATTACATCTACTGACAGTGGTTTGTGGCCTAATTGTTTAATTATCATGGATTTTAAGTAGGGTCGATAATAGTAATCGGGAGGATTTCATGATGCACTTACTCTTTTTACGTTATCTTTGCAATTCACTTAACTTAGGAGACCGGGATGACCCAGTTGTTCGTTTTACTATCAGCATCGCGATTTCTGCATTCCGCTCTCACATATATCAAATGAACGTTGAATCTCAGCCTCAAGTTGCATGTATCAGATACGAAATAGATCAGGAGAACCTATAACGTTTTGCCCAGTCAAAAATCTTTCAGTGTGTTTCATCTTTGAATTGTTAAGTGGCGTCATTTTACAATTTGGCTTTCACGCTAGAAAGGTATTCAAATGATCCAGTCATACACGGACCGACGTATTTTGTGTTTACCTTATCTTCGCAGTGTTTCAATTTGATAGAACTTTGAAGTATAGAAAAATAGAGGTGAAACAAAATTGAAATGAATATTCAGAGCAACTCGAGTTTTTGCTGTTTTCTGCAAAGCTTATAAATTGGTTATTTTTAGATATTTTCAATGACTATGAGAATTACAGTCATGCGTTTATCACCTTTTACGTATTCACTCATCTAATATGATACGGGTAATTTGGATAACTTTTAAACCTGCTCGTTGAACCGATCGGCTTGGTGTGAACAGTATGACTTACCTATTCCAGCCCACCCAGAAAAACAGTTTGAAATCTCAGTTCATAACTATAGAGGAAGAATCAACTAAACTTTTGCAGCAAATAAAAGTCATGGACATAAAGAGCGTGCTCTTCAGATCCTCGAAAGATTTAAAACCCGAGTTCTTCACAATACAAACTTCAGCTCAATAAAAAAGTATTGGTTTGTTTGTTCAGTAAAAGTACAACCCACCAAACACTGGTGATGGTTGCCCTGTCTATGTGGCAGATGTCACATTTTTCAGAAGAATCGGAAGGATTGCGTGCAGTTTTCTAGTGTCGAATGAATTCGCTTATTCATGCTCATGTAAAAGCGAGAGAACTGTAAAAGAGACTAGAATGAGCGTCATGTGACCAAAGGTCTTTGAACAGTGGTACATCGGAATTATAGATTGAACGAAGCTCTTAAATTCTTTTGGTCATTTTGCCATTTATTTCAGTCAGTTTTTATTGAAAACAATGCGATGAGAAGGGATCAATAAAAGGGTAGTCAAGCGATGCAAATGGAGGGATTTTACGCGATTNTACGCGATTTCCAAAGCCTGAACCATTGTTCAGTTTTTGTGTGAATTATATGAGTTCAAATTGATTGATTTTGGAACCAAAATTTCTTCAGGAGGGTGAGATCAGTAATATAATCTAATACAGTACATTCGAAATGAACACACTTGGAGCGTCGGGGTAAAAAGCTTACCGTGATATTTGCAGAATCATAAGCAGTATCAAACAATAGTTAGGCAGTTATAATTAGTTACACTTAGACTATTCTGCTTCATTATGGTATTAATTAAGATCACAATGATTTTACTGGGGAGTGTTAGTAGTACTTAAATGTCACTAGTGGGAATTACA